AAAAAAACTCTTTTCTCTGTTATTCCCTAGTTTTCTGGAAAACCAATACTTGCAAGGCCTAGCGGCACAAACCAAGGTGAGATTCGGATTCAGGACCATCGATTACCTGTGGTCCACCACCTTTCATATCTAAAGCGATTTATCAGTTGGGAATCATTCCTCGTCAGTAAATTAAAAAAGAGAAATAAACCACCCTCATCAAAAAAGAATCTAAAAGATTACCGGACTCGAAATGGACTCGGAACTAGGACTCGGTCCTTAATGTTAATAACTCAGACTCGGGCTGGCTTGAGTTTTTAAGGACTCGATATCCTTCAGACTCGCCCCTGCCTGAATGATACAGTATCTATAGAATTTCCTCTGATATGAATCTGCTTTAAAGTAGAATAAACTATATTAGCATAAGTGATCACAGAGAGTACGTAAGATTTAAAAATCTGATCGAGAGTAGATGTGCTAGAATATGGTTATGTATGCGCATTAGATGGAGAGTGTAATTACATTTTTTTAATATGTATCGAACATGAACTATGTTGGTGTTCCACTCTGATTGTTCGATTTCATTATGAAAAATAAAGAACGTCAGAAAAATTAACACAAAGTTAATTGGTTATAAACGGAATGACATTAGATGAGTGCTGATCTTTAGCGTCTATACATGCCACTATTTTCAATTCATATTGGTTCATCGTGTATCAAAAGTTTTAGTCTTAAGACAAAGATAGTTTCCACCTAAAAATGAAAGAAATCGGACGGCGGTAATTGGGAGTTTTGTGAATCTTTAGAAGTTTTTCTTGAGCGTCTTCTCGCAGAACCCTTCTTTTTGCCAAACGAAGTTTTTCGACCTGCTAATTTAAATAGAAAATTTATTATAATATATCGTTTCTTCCATACAAATAATAATAATGATAGACCACTAACCACTGCAAAGACCAAAAATAATCCACTCATTGCTTCAATTCCCAATGCAGTAGATGTTGTAGTTGCATCAGGACAAGTCTGTGATTCAAACCATTTTGCTTTCAAATCATCAAGAGTACCATTCTGTCTCAATGCTAATATACTAACATCTAAATCGTTCCCATATAGCCATCCTATAGGTGTAACAATACCAAATTCGCCTTCATCAAAACCATCACCAACCAAAGTTAAATTGCAATATATATTATTAGTTATATATTCTGCAACCCCAGTATCCAGAAAAGTTACATCGATTATACCAGCTAATAAATCATCATATGATTGTTGTCGAGTATTTGCACCGATTATTGGAAAATAATTTGGATTATTATTAGAGATTTCTGCTAAATAAAAATCTTGCGAAGCTGTACCTACACGAATACCAATACGATTAGATGGTATTTTTCCAGCTTTAATATCACCAATTCCAGAAATAACACTTTGCGATTTTGATATTGTTAGATCAGATGCTAAGTTTGCAGTATACGATGCCACTAATACTATACTTACGATATATAAACCAATAGTTAATAAACGTCCAGCAGCTGTATTAGCATCAAAATCTGCACCGTATCCCACAAGCTGGCCAAAAGAATACCACATACTCATTGCACATAAAGAAATTATTGATCTATTTTGTAATGCTTCGTTCTCTTCTCTCTCTAATAGACTTATTAAGATACCAGCATATACAACAGCAGCTAAGATCAATAACCAGAGATTACGTGAGAATGGTTTCAAGAACGCTAAGAGATCGACACTAGCATCGGGAGTTTTTCGCATAAGAAGGCGTAAAGAATTATCAAATATTGACCTTGAAAAACCAACGATTTTTCTTCTGTTAGCAGTAAGTGTCACATCACCTACCACTATATCATAAACACCATCAGCTACTGCTTGGACTAATGCATCATAGGTTTCATTTGATGGTGCTACCCTAATGTCTGGAATAAAATTCGTGATGCTTTGTAATTCATCAATAAGATCCTTGATATAACCAGTTACCTGTGTTTTACCCTCTACAATGGTAATTATTGTGAATGGATCTGATTCAATTACTCCAATTCGTAAAGTTACACCATCAAGTTTTGGAATACCAGTAGGAGGTTGTGATGAACTACCTGGCCAGATAATCGAATTTTCTCCTGCATACTGTTGCCAATTATTCTGATCAGAATAAGCCAATACTGGCACAAAACTTATTTTATTTGAAGAAGGTTGTTGAGAGTTTTGTGCATAATAATAACTACCATTTATTCGATCTGTTACATTAACATCAAATTCTATAGGACCAGATACACCAAGAAATGTCATATTAGTAACTGTATCAAAAAATGAATTGGAATTGAGAAAACGACGATCAAAACAGAATGAAGAGCCGTCAAATGATATACATGAGGAAGAACTATTAGTAGTTGTTGAACAAAGTTGTTGTAATGATTGAATCAATAACCAAGTTGCATCAAATGCAAATAGTGCATAAGGATTTACCATTGTCGACCAAGGAAATGTTTCATTCTCATACTGTTGCCATATAGCATACGTTGCATTTAACAATGTTGTATTACTCGAGGCACCAACAGTAGTTGCTGTTGTAGGTTCAATAGTAAGCATTCCGGTTAAATTTGAATAAAATGTTTGATTAAAAGAATCTAATGAAACACTTGAACTTAATATCCATGTGAAACTTGGACCAAGTACATTAGCATCAAGTGCATCTTGTAAAATTAAAGATGTATAAGTTGGCTCAGCCCATAACAGTACAATTCGTGTTGCACTAGTGGTTAAAGAGCGTGCCAAATCGTCTTGATAGTTATGTGTTGCAATATCAAATGCTACCGTATCTGCGACTTTGAAACCCTTGTTAATAAATGCCTCACTTATTACTCTTGCACCATCATATCCAAATGCATCATTTTGATAAATAATTACGCATGAAGTCCAATTAAATTGAATAAATAGTTGTACAATTGCCGACGCAGCTGCATTATCTGAAGGAACTGTGCGATAAAAAGCAGGGTAGGCATTTCGATCAGATAAATCAGGATCAGTTGCACTATATGATACAACAGGAATACCAACTTTTTCGGCAAAGTCAGCAATAATGAGAGTTTCTCTTGATAATCCTGGACCCACGATACCAACAATGTTAGAAGCAGATATTGCCTGGCACGTACTGCTAATAGCATTTATTGCAGTGCCACCGGTTTGTATTACTTGCCATTCTATGAATTGTCCTTCAATTGTTATATTATATTGTTGAGAAAGCAAGACTGCTGCTTTAAACATAGCGCGAGACTGAACAGACAAATCGGTAGGTTTAGATGCATTCTCTTTATCTGGAAAAAGGCCTAATAGTTGTATAACACCGGAAGAGTTTGGTGAGGGCCAAGTTGCTCTTACATAATGTACATCAAGTTGTCCAAATATAAAGAGTAAAAACGACCACCGAAGATCCCACAATGGCATCTTCGTCATTTGATCTTAATTCAGATAGAGTGGTTTGAATTGAATGTGTGAAAGAACAAATTATACTAAAATTTAGACAAGATAGCAGACTATAAATATATTTATTAAAGGAAATAATTCATGGATAGTTGACTCATTATTATCAGTGAAAGTGGATTAAAAGATAGATTTCATATCACAAAGATGAAGCGATATTTTCTAAGACAAATATTGAAATTCAGTATAATACTATCGTAGTTCATTTTGTTCAGATCTCTCTGACTACCAGAAATAAAAATCATTTGCAATATACCGAACTTAAGAAGTTTTTTACACAATTATCATTTCCAAGAACAACATTATCGAGAGTGTTCTAGTGTAATGTATGAGCTGAAATTTTATAAAGATAAAAAAGAGCGGCCGTTCTAACGGGTCAGCATAGAGTCATGATTTCAACAGAGAACTGAATGATAAAATGTCTTGCTGGAATCGTACTTATATGTAGGTTTTTTAACTTTTCAGGATATCCTACAAATGTCAATGCAAAAGGATCCTTTCTTCTCGATGAAGGCAGTTGAAGAAAAATTTTCATTTTAAAGTGTACTCAGAAAAATCTACTTTTTTTCTTGCAGATAAATTATCTAAAGAAGACAACGTTTTTTGGATGAAACTTTGAGCATGTTTTAGGAGGAGCTAAGACTTATACATGGGTAGTAGTTTGGTTCAAAACTCTTATTAGAAACTATTAAATATAATTAAACACTTTTTCATTATAATCTCGGCTAAATTCAAATGTAAAACACGATAGAGTTACTTAAGTCTACTTAAATTTTCATTCCAGGTAAAAGATAGAGAGCCCTGGCTGTTGTTTCTTTGCGGAAAACACCTATGGCTGGGTATTGACAGAGTCCGATTTTTGAATTACTTGTTTACTGATTTCTGGTGCTTAATAGAACTTTAAAGTTCGAAAAGTCCTTGAAAGGTTTCTTAGAAATTTTTCCACATTTCTATAAAAAATGGAAGCATAATTTAAAAAATCGGACTCTGTCAACTCCTACTCATAGGTGTTATCTACAAATTAAAGAAAATATTTTCTTTCTCCGATGTACCGATAATTCCTGCACGTGGCGAAAGCTCTGAAGCTAAAAAGCAGTGTTAAGAAAAACGCAAAATAAGTTTTGATTCTGTTAAATCTGTTTTTCTTAAAAACTGTTTGAGCGTCAAAACCTATGAAAACTCTATTCTATCGACACAAAAAGTGTGACAGTAGATACTGTGGGCTACCCAAGCATATACTTTCTCAAAGTCGATATTTTTGATAAAAACTGGCATTTCTGACGCGGGAGTGGGTGGGGCTTAAATGGTGAATGTGTATCTTTCACCGAATCTGTTTTTGTACGTGGGATATGAGGGAAGACGGATCTAACTTTCTCGTCATGCACTTCAGTACTCATTAACAATTATGTTTTTCACAAAAAGACAATCACCTAAAAATTCTAGTTTGGAATTAGCGTTTTTTTATATAATGTCCGCATCTTTTAATCACAGGATTTCTGTTAGTGTTTCTAATACATTACTTCGGATAAACTTAACATAAAAAGTGTTGATTCACCTTAAAAATTTGCCACCTCTGTTCGCTAGAACACATAACGATAGCAAATCTATATTAAAAGTACCGGTAAGATAGGAATGAAGGGTTATAATTGTTGATTGATGCAAGCAAAGAAATAACCGACATTAGCTCTTCTAATAGAAATGAGAACAGAAACATGAAAAATTGCATGCCTCAGTGTCATCGCAGGAATGAATATATCCTTTGTCTTTTGATATAAATGTGTTCACCGCGTTACCTATCGATAAACGAACGGCCAACTTGTGTACACATCTGAGTTGTTCACAACAGAGTGCCACTTTTTTTCGAACAATTTTTTTCTAAATAAAAATTTCTTCTCATAAAAAACAAAATTTTCTAAATCACATGTGTCCTTGTTACTAGAGAGAAATTCAGGTGTTTCTGTACTTCACAAAGAAGAAAAAGCGCAAGAAACGAAAATTGTTTTTTGACAAAACACAAAATTTTGCAAAAAAACTTGAAAGCTGTTGACTATTATGACTCTCTGTACCTAGAAATAGTGTCTATTTTTCTGGACCCAAAACGTTTTTCAATGAAAGATAAGGCGATATTCGGAATCAGAGTGCAAAACTGCATCGAACGATGTAGCTGTCAAACACTGACATAATGTTTTTTTGGGTCAAAAGATTTAATTGGATGCTCCTGAAGCATTTTAGTCAAAAAACTGAAAGTTTGCACAATACGGTTTTTTCTTACGAGAATACTGCTTTCAGAATTCAATTTCTGGAACAAAATCGGTCTTATTTCCTAAAATGCCATCAGTTTTTTCTCCTGAAAAGCTGCGAAAGTTTAACAATGTCTTTCGATAGCCATGAAGGAGTTTGAATAAAAATCTGTTTATCCATAAAGGAAGCTGACATATAACACTGCCTAATTGTTCGATCAAACTGCTTTTACTTTCTTTACTTTCCGCGAAAAAGAGAAAATGTTTTTATCATCGTAGTATCAAATTTTCCATCGACTGTACGGCAAAAAGAAAATTATTCTGTGAGATTAAATGACGAAATATGTGTGAGAAAACACCTAAACTGTCTGTGAACCAGATGTAGGCAGAGATGTACGAACTCTGAACTTTGTTTAAATTTGACAGGTCTCTTCGTGTCCGACCTTAAGTTCTAGGGATATATCATTTCGTTTTATCTGCGACATTCCTCATACTACGTTGAATGAGAGAATTGACTTCCGATATTTTATTCTATTTGTAAAATCCGTTATTGTATTCTATGAACCATTCTTTTTCTAAAAACTGAGATCTTCAAAAAGGTTCTTGTTACCAACAGAAGCTAAAACGATAGGAACTAATTTGGTGTGTTTTGATCTTCGAGTTCTTCTGAAAGTAGCTTTATTGGCTTAAAGAAAGAGTTTTTATTTCCATAAATTGTTCAAGTTTTCTTCCCAATCTGTATGAATATATATATATTATTTTCCCTTTCACCTGGAGTAATAAGGGTGATTACTGCCGCAGTTCGATGGCTGCTTAGGAATCACATATGGATCAGTTGTCATCATTCCTGATGCCTAATGTTTTCGTCTTATTATAGGAACTATTCTCTAAATTGCAGCTGCTATTCGGCTTGTCCACGCGTTACGGACTTACGTATTTTTAGTCCGTCACATTTTTCTCTGTGACAAATGAGACTATGAGGATCATTCTTATGTCAACTGACAGCGGTCGATGAGCTCTGTCCATCAACAAACTATCATCAGTTATAGTCAAATGGTTCAGTTTTATACAGATAATACTGAGCGTTACGGACTTACAAAAAATAGAAGTAGAAAGCGATAAGAAGTTTAGCGAATTGTGAGGCTCCTAGAAGACACGTTTTCGTAGCGAATGTAGCCGAGGATTACGCCTATCTAGAGTAAAAAAAGATTTCGTCACAGCACTCTTTAGTCTATGGGATACATCCAAAATAAAAACGTTACAAACTTATGTTTCGTTTTGGACTTACGCGAATTTTGTTTTTTTCTTTTCTTCTTCGTACAGTGAACGACTGCTATAATCTTAACTACATGTGACTTCAACTAAACTACGATTTATTTTTATGTGATATCGAAGCTGCTCCATAAGATGACACTTTTAATTTTTTCCAAAAACACTTTTCTTCTTTGGCCAAGAACGTAAACAATTACATGAACAAGCCGTATTATTCTTGTTGAAAATGTTTTGTGTGCTTAGATGATGAATAATAGTGTATGATAATCACAGCCATAACTTTAAACAAACTTTAAGTGTTCTGTATTTTCATTTCTCTTTTTCTTAAAAGTATTCATGCATTATACACTGAAGTACCGCTAGCATTTAAAAAAACTGCTCGAGATAATCTCATTCTTTTTCTTAAAATGCTAATTGTTAAATAAACAACTATACTTCGACGTAGTTTCTTCATGCATACCTATATAAATGTCAACAGAATAGTTGCCAAAAGTACAATAATGTGTTCTTTTTCGAAGGTTATCTGATCGAAAATAATTGTATAAATTAATAAACGTAACATTGAGGCGAACAATGACACAGAGAGCCCACAGAAACTTAATTCTAACAAAGAAAGCAGACAACTTGTTTTATAAAATTTCAGATAACACCGATTGAATGGAATTTTATAAAAGGCATTCTTTAGTGGTAGAAACATTAGTGGTAGTTTCTGGTCCAACAGACTATCTCGAGTCATAGTTAAAAATTCGAAGCAAAAATCATACGTCGAAAGATTTGAATAAGGGTAAATAAACTCTATTTTATTTTCGAAATTTTTTTCTTAAGAAATAAGTTGAAAAGAATGTTGGAATCGTAGGTATAGGAGGAGAGGAATCCATGACTAGAGCAGATTTATCTCAGCAAATGAAGAAGAATTTGAACTTATCGGATATGATGATGACTGGCTGCGTTCTTGTTGGTTTTTCTGTTTTTGATGATAAGAATATTCTGAACCGCGTGTACGTCTTTTTTTTAATGATTCTCTAATCTGTTGAATAGCAATAGCATCCTGAATGGAAGTGGTGTTCTCCATAATGCAAAAAGTAGTTTCTTTTTGCAAAAGAGACTTGTTAGAACGCTGATGTGAGAAAATAATTCAACTAATAGCAGTACTGTCGATCTCCAGAGGCTATAATGAAACAACGACAAATCTGGCTGAGCTTCTCTTTTACCCCACGGATTGCTCGTTTAAACTTTATCTAGTCATTCATTATAAATATTAGCGTTTTATTCTCACAAGTCAACTTTTCAAGCAAATTTTGTGATATTTTCACTAAAAAACAGTGCAACTGCTCGCGAACAGAAAGTGCAAAGAAATGAGATGACAATGTAACATAATACAGATTAGTCAAATAGTGCAAGTGAATAAATAATTGTTGCATCCACCACTGTGCAACAAGAAAAAAAGAAAATAGAAAAGTA